GCAACCCAGGTTATAAAAGGGGAAACTGAGCTTCGGGGGTGTTTTAAAACATAGCATTGTTATTGTTTAGGTGTGGTAAGATCAATAGATCGGGAGGCAATTGAGATTAGAAACGCAGTGTTTAAATTATAGGTCCCAAGAGGTGGGGGCGTAGTGATGATGGTTAAGACCTGGGGTGGCCTGATCCAGTCACACACTCACCCACACTGTGTGTGTGTTTGAATGCGTTGCACGGAGCACTGTGATAAGCTCCCCGTTCCTCAGGGAACAGGGAGACATGGGCAAAAACAGGGACTATCTGTCCCCTGTCAAGACTCTTCATTTCCATCCAACACATCTCCAGGAAGGTCCTGCTCTGCACCAGGCATGGCCTCCAGCCTTGAACTAGAAGGACTTTCCTGCTGCTCCCTAAGGTGGCTTAACAGGAGGGCAAGCATCCCAGTCTGCGAGCCGGGACACCTGGATTTGACTCCACACTGTCACTGAGCCACCCAGTGACCTAGGATAAGCCTCAATTTTCCCAACTGTATAATGGGTGGGCTGAGCCAGAGGGTCCTTGAGATGCCTCCATATTTAACCCTCTGTGAATCAAGTGATCTGAGCAGCGGTTCCCAATTAGCTGGGTGGGGACAGGGGGCTTTTCAAACACAGAATCCTGAGCCCTCTCTTAGACCTGCCAGATGACGCTCTCTTAGGAGGGGAGCGTAAGAAGCTGTATTATTTTTTTCCAGGAGCAATGGCAGATTTTATTGACTTGGACTAGGACACATGGGGACCCTCACCCATGGTGGTGGGGGCGGGTTGGGGATGTGATTGAAGATAAATTTTAATGGGCACTTGTGGTAGAGTCGCGGTTTCTGCCTGTGTTGGATGAAAGGGGGCCGGGGAGCAGGTTGGCTGGTAGCTGCAAAGCTTGACTTTCCCACTGGTTGCATCTGCATGGAGCGGGGGGGCTGCGGGGAGGCAAGGAGTCCCGGGGTGGGATACAGAGCTTGGGGACACCTGGGGCGCAGGGAGGATGAGTCAGAGAAGCCAGTTTGCTGGTTAGCATGTTCCTTCTGCGTTTGCAAAGACAACACACCACCAGGTGGGAGGAACCCCGTCTGGATGGGCTGAACGGGACTGTGCGCAGCGTAGGGCTGCGGCTGTGGCTGTGGCTGTGGCTGTGGCTGTGGCTGTGGCTGCGGCTGCGGCTGCGACAGGTACTGACCGCGCGGCAGGAACCGCCGAGGGTGCTCTGAGCTGCTGACTAGGACTCTAGGTGGGTTGAGGGGGCCCACAGCGAGGTGGGGGCTGAGCCGTCCCGTAGGTGCTGCCTCGATCTTGCCCGTGCTCTGGGGTCTCTGTGAAAGCGGCTGCTGAGCCCACGCAGTGCTGGGTTGTAAGCCCTTGGGGTGTGAACATCTGTTTGGCTCTGTCGGCTGCCCCGAGGTTCCCCGGGCGACTCTTGCCCTCCAGGGCTCCCCTGCACGCCGAGCAGGCGAATTCCCGTGTGGACGGCCAGGCCTGCGGGTTTGCCGCTGATGTCAGGTCGGGTCACTCTGCTCCTTTCGCTTCTGTTTTTCTTCCTCGTGGGAAACGTTCTCGAGCTGCAGGAAAAGCCGGTGCTTCTCTCCCTGCAGGGCCGAAAGCTTCTCGTGCACTTTCAGGATTTGTCCCTTGGTCTCCTCCAGTGACGTTCTGTCTTCCATCTCTTTTTTCTCCCTTCCCTCCTGCTCTTCCGTCATCTTCTGTTCCATCGTCTCGTCCACTTCTTCTTCCCGCTGCCTCTTGCACCCTTGCTCCATCACGATGTGCAACGCCCTGGCCATGGCGCTGGAAAGCCTGGGGCGCTCCAGGGACGCAGGTACGCTGTGGCCGGCGATGCTCAGACCCTGCCCAATTCGGTCGCTGACTGCCAGACATCAGACCCGGCCCACCTCCTCTTCGCTTTCCCCAGATGCTGTATTTTTTGAGAACTGATTCTGATGTAGCTGCTTTATAACCTGGCATTTGGGAAACACTGCCTAGGAAATCTGGTTCCTCAAAAGGGACAATGAACTAATTCCTGTTTGAGGCACAGCCGGCCTCTCCCATCGGCTCGAGTGCTAACAGGGCCTGTCTCACGCGTAATTGGAAGAGACAGCACCTGCTGAGCCTGGATTCCATCATAAGCCTCTTGGCGGTGATTTTCCCATGTCCACATGTGGTTGATGGCCCACCTGGAGACCCAGGCCTGCCAGCTGGTGAAGCATCTTGGAGCTGAGAGCTCTTCTTGGAGCTTCATGCCAGTGCTGGCCGATAAGATTAGGGAAGAGATGAGGGTGCTGATTTGGAGTGGGCACTAGGAGCCCGTGGAACAGGCTGCTTGAGTCTAGCGGGCATGGGAGCAGCCTATGACTCTGGGCGAGCCAGATTATCCTCTCTGGGGCCTTGGTCTCCCCACCTGTAGAGCGGGCGTGGGTGTGGACGAGATGACTTGCCTGGTCTTGACAGCTGGGACATCCTGAGTCTTAGTGTGGCCTTTAGAGAGGGCTCAGGGGGGCAGAGGGGCCGCAGAGTGGGCTGGTGGGAGGGTGAAGGTGAGGGCAGCTACTGTTGGAGCAGGGCGGAGGGGCTCGGCCTGCAGGAGGAGCCAGCAGGCAGCTGGGTCCCCCTGCCGATCTGCAGAGCGGGTGTAGGGGAGCAAGAGCTCCATAGGGGAGGGGGTGATGAGGTAGAAACGGGAGAAGCCACGGGGAACTCTGGGGTCCCCTGCCGTGAGGGGGAAGGGGATAAAAGTACAGACTCCAGAGCTTCTCTTTCCGGTTCAAATGCCAGCTCAGCCTCCTCCCAGCTGCGTGATCTCGGAGAAGCCACGCCACCTCTCTGAGCCCCAGTTTCTTCACACACCTACAATGGGGGATGGTAATAGCACCTTCCTCAGGGGTCCTTATGAGGACAGAGTCCTTAGAACAGCGCTCGCCAAGCATTTAGCTATTGTTGGCGTTGCTGTTATTACATTAGCATGAAGGCAGTGTACCCGAGTGGTTATGAGCAGGCCTCTGGGGGCTGAGCCACTGACTGGCCATACGGCTTTGTTGCCTGGCCTCCCTGTGCCTCAGTTTCCCCACTCATAAAGAGAGGACAGTATCTACTTCATTGGAGTAAGTCTTCAGTGAGTTTCTAGGTCGAGTGCTTAACGAAGTGCCCAGCCCATGTAAGTGCTCTAAAAAGAGCACTTGCTGCTGGTGGTATTATTGCTAATAAAGTTGAACTGAGCTAATTAGGCCAATACCACTACTGACATGTTTTTTTCTCCCAGCTCCAGGCCACCCCCAGCCCAGGCACTGCTCCAGAGGCTGAACTTAGTGTGTTTTGGTTCAACCACCAACTTCACTGACATGGTTTTCCTCCCAGCTTCAGGCTGCCCCCAGCCCAGGCACTGCTCCAGAGGCTCGGCTGAACTTAGTGTGTTTTGGTTCAACCACCAACTTTCCTGATGTCTGTGCCCTGGTGTGAGGCAAGCACTGGACTTTGAGTCCAAGGCCCATGTTCAAGTCCCAGCCCCGGCCCCAGCCAGGACTTACCCTCGGCTAGTCTGAGCTGCAGTTTCCAGATCTGTGAAGTGTGACAATGGGGTCCTCTTTACCAGGAGGCTGGGAGGTTTAAAGGAAAGGGCAGAGGAAAAGAAAACCCAGCAGAGCCAGCTGTGCGAACAGCAGTGCCCGGTGGCCGTGGTGGCTCAGCGTGGCATGCAATCAAAAGGACTTGAATTCGCTTGGCAGCTTTGCCACTCACTGGCTGGACCACCCCAGGGCCAGTCTCTCAACCTCTCTGAGCCTGTCTCCTTCCCTGTCCGAAAATATGGGTTATTTCATGAGGCTTGCCATCTCGCCTCGTCTCCATTCTCTGCCTCTGCCCTCTCCCTTCTGGCTTCCCTTGTAGTTAAAATGAGTCGTTATCGCTTGTGTCTTGAGGACGTGGATACAACACGCTGGCATCTTTGCGTATTTCTCCTCTGCCAGCCTTAGCGCCCGACGTGACTGCCCGTGCTGGATTCTCTGTCTGCCGTGGATGTACGCGGCCCGGGTCCCTCTCCTCACGCCGCTGAGCAGACCTGCAGCTACACGGGAGGGGTTTTCTTCCCTTTGATTTGTACTTCTTGCCTCCTTATCCCATGTGCGAGACGTGGTCTCCCTCTTTTCCTGTGATGTTCAGGATTCTAATTAAGTGTAAAAGGCTTTTACTCCTTACAATTCTCCAGTTATGAATAATAATACTGGCTCATGAATGAGAATTGCTTTTCTATTTAAATTCTGTTTTTTTTTTTTTTTTTAAAGAAGGTATGAAACCAGGGCTCTTGGGTCATTTGCAAGTTATTAATTTCAAGCGGAGCTCTTAGCTAGCTTATTAATGGTGAGGGTATTACAGCCGAGTTAAATGACTGGGATGTTAATTACCTTGCAGGCTTTTATGGATGGAGAAATAGCTTATTCCATGTTGGTGGGTGGTCTAGGTGGGAAAACATGACTCTGCTTCTGGGAGGCATGAGAGGAAGTGGGTCTTGGGGAGATGCTTGCTTGGTAGACACTGGATCGCAAAGCCTTTCCCCAGGGTCTGTAGGATCCTAGGGCAAGGTGGTCAGACATGCCATAGTACCTGGGCCAGGTGTCTCTAAGCCAGACACAGGTAAGGAAGTCAACACTTCTCAACACACAGGACTATGTCCCTTTGGCCTTCACCTCCACCGAGGACAGACGAGTCAACATGGTGGCAGGAGACATTTCCATTAGTCTAGCGTTTCAAAAATCTCAGTCATTGCAGTTCTGTTTTGGCCATATTGACACACTGCCTGTTCTATTATTTACTTACTATTTTTATTTCCATCGACTCACTTAAAAAAAACTTAAATTTAGTTTCAAGGGAAACTTTATATCACCGCCATAAATGGCAAACCAGCATCCCTCGTCATAAATTCAGAGCAACATAAAAACGAATACACGGGTATTAAAGTAAAAAATGTACATGCGTGCACCACCTGAGGTGACTCCCACATGGGCAGTGGTGCGTTTACCACAGAACAGGAAACCTGGATCAGTTGAACGAAGGATTTCCTGAACTGGTGGCCTGTGTAGCCTCAGGGTGACAGCCAGGAGACTGGGACAGACTGGGAAAGGACTGTGGCAGGTGGGCCAGTGACCAGCCCAGAAGAACCAATGCTCTCTAGGGTCCTTCCATTAAGATGCAGCCAAAATTGGAGGCCACAGAGGAAAAGGTGGATCTGATGAATTTCTGTATATTTTGAACATTAGGGAATGGCATGTAAATGATATGCAAATTTCATGCCAGCCAGCATTTGTTCTCTTGGGCCAATTACTCAGGTGTGTTGGGGTGGCATTGTGGCTAGCCGGCCTGTGGCTCCTGCTTTCATCTGGTCCCTGGGTTCCCAGGAGCCACAACAGGAGAGAGGGGACTGTCCAGAAAGTACTGGCCTGGGAGTCAGGACGGAGGTAGCCAGGCTCTGCTGCTACATGGTTGTGTGACCTTGGACAGACCACTAGGCCTCTTTGGACCTCAGTTTCTTTGTCTATAAATGAAGGGGTTGAATGAGATGCATCTGGAGATCCTGCGATTTATTTTATGTGTCACGTTGACTGGGCCATGGCATCCAGATTATTCTGGATGTTTCTGTGAGAGCATTTTTGGAGAGTAACATTTAAATTTGTGAACTCTGAGTAAAGCAGATTATCTTCCATAATGTGCTGGGCCTCATCCAACCAGTTGAAGGTCTAAATAGAACGAAAGACCAACCTCCCTTAAGCAAGGGGAAATTGTACCGCAGACGTCTTTGAACTTGAACTGCAACATGGGTTCTTCTCTGGGTCTCTAGCCTGCTGGCCCATCCTGCAGATGTTGGACTTGCTAGCTTCCATAACCATCAGAGCCAATTTCTTAAATAAATCTCTATACAAACATCTTATTGGTTCTATTTCTCTGGAGATGTCCTTTAGCCATTGGCTACCTTTGTCATCAGGCAGAATAGGTAGATGCTCAAGGAGGTCATAGTGGCTGGTCTCCGCTTCCCTGAGCTTTTCTGCTGCCCATACACAAATGGAATAGAACGAGTTAGCTCAAAGCGGCTTAAACCGCTGAGGACTTTCATCAGTGTTTCTGGGGGTCCAGGGGTAAGTCAGTCTCTACGGTGGTTTGACTCAGAAGCTCGATAGTGTCAGTTGTTTTCCCATCTCTTCATTCTTTTCTATTCCTGGTGTTAGTTTTGACCGGAGGATAGCTTCCCTCATGGTGGCAAAAAGGCTGCACAGTTCCTGCCATGCCTCCTACTACAGAAGGAGAGAGATGTCTGCCTAGAGTTCCAGCAAAAGTTCTCAGCCCCAACGTGGGCCGACTGGTTCATTTCAGACCCAAAACTCATGGCCAGGGGAATGGCATGAATGGATCAGCTCAGACCTGGTTTATCTAAACCAACCACCGTGGCAAGAGGCATGGATTACCTTGCGGCAGAGGGCATTGGGCTAGAGTGGGGTTAGCCGCATGCAAACAGGGTGTTTCGGGGCCTGTGCGAATGCTCGGCTCAGAGGTTCGGCCCAGTGTGGTCCAGGCACCAGGCCCCGTTTCTTTTTTCCCTCCGCTTCTTTCTCTTCTCTTCTTCTCCTCCCCTTCCTTTCTTCTGCTCTTTCTCCCCTGTGACTCAGGCTCCAGCCCTGCCCTGGCCGGCTGCCCCGCCACCCAGCTGGGAGTCCCTCACGTGCCCATTTGTTTGTATCCGCTCAGCATCGCTTCTCCCCATTCTTCCGGAAACATACGCCCCCTCTTTGGGGGACCATCCCTCCATCCACTCCATTTGCGGGGAGCTCTCCATCACTGGACCCCTTCTTGCTTACACAAGTGGTCACGAGGTCCGGGCTGAGCTCCTCTCTGGGATTTTGCATCCTCTCTTTCCTCTAAAATCACTTGTTGAGATGACGTGAGCCGGAGCTGTCTGTAGCCCGATTCCCCCCTGCTCTGTGGAGGAATCTATGTGCAGGGTAGGGGGTGGGATGGGGCGGGGTGGGGGGATAGAGAGAGAATCATGCCCTGGACTTTTCAGTTCCCAGAGCTGCTACATACCCTTTCCCTATGAACCCACTTGGGATGGGCTTCTGTTGTTTGTGACTGAAAGTACCCAACTGGTATACCAGCTTTCATTCCTTTATTAATTTAATCAGAATGTATTCGATACTTCCTTCGGACCAGGTAATTCTGGAAGATAAGTACTATTACTGTCCCTGCTTCACAGGTGGGGAA